TCTCTTAAAATTAAATTTGACGAAATAAGTTTGAATGAAATAGAGCAAAAAATGTGTGTAATTAAATGGGCCGTACAAGGAAGTTGTGGTGTCCACATCCGATTTTTTTCCTTAATTGTAATGTTATATGGCACTAATGTCTTAACTCCTTAGCAAGTTCTCGATTGGTTGCATACTGATCTTCCACAAGTTCTTGCAAACAGCCCTCATCAACATCAGTAAGCCAGCCAGTGTGCACTGCTGTTTGAATATCATAGTCCTTGTTTTTGAACTTTCGGTAACATACCTTCACAGTGCTATATGATACAACATTAGCTATACACATGATTTGGTGAGATTCTGTAGCTGACTTTTTGCAAAAGAACTAGAAGCAAATGATGATTCTAATCTGGTAGCATGATAGTTCCATTTCAGATAACTTGTATTTAATGATAACTTTATAAATTTCGCAACTTAGTGTTCTAAGGCAAGTCTCTTTCTTTCAAATGCCGAAAATCATTTGACGAAATATCGTGAAGCACATCAATGCAGTTGTGCAGACAGTATTTGCAGTGGCGGGAAACTTTCGTTAAAATCCAATAATTTCGCTGAGTCTACATTTCCACCAAACACATAGAATTTCACTAAAATTATATACATGTATACAAAATTTGTAACATTACCCCTCCTCAAGCACTGTGTGTGGCAGGCACTACATTTCCTGGACAAAAGTCACACCTACAACTAGGGAAAATCAATTCAAGTATTAAAATAATAATGTCCATAAATGACCTACAAGAAATCAAATACTAAATCAATAATTAAATGCATGAATTTACAAATTTATAAAAATAGGACCATAGGCTTAGTTTATTATTTACATTACATGCACTATGGGGATTATGTGCTATGGCATAGTAAGGGGCTAGCCTGTTTTAATGAACTACTTTAAGCTTAGAATTTGATGTCTTATGGATCTGAACAATGAAGTCTTTAAGCTTGTTTAGAACTGTATAAAGACCATTGCATGGTAACTGTAGTTTAAGAGAAAATCCTTTCATTTGAATTTTATTCTGTAACCACACCTGCCACTTTTGTTGAATTGATACCCCATACCTTTTATTTCATATCAGGTGTTCATCTCTATGTCAACTAGTTGACTCGTGCACAATTTTGCATCACTTCAAATTGTGTCTGGAGATTTGGAATGCACTCCTCAGGCAACGAATTTGCATCCTGAGGAGAACCAAACAAGAGATCACAATTTCAACAAAGTTTATGACCGAAGAGCATTTGGATGGGGAATAGCTGGTAGTTTCATGGATGGCACTGTGATGGGCCAGTAAGAACAGAGGTAACTTCTGATCCCAGTGGCTGGTGATTTCTGGGAACCATCAGACAGAGAAAGAGATTATTAATCTTGTTTCGATTAAACCTCTTTGCTATGCCATCCGATTGCAGATTTAAATGTGTTTATAGGTTTCGTCTCTGTCAAGTAGATTGTACAGTTTTTTTTATTATAGCCAAGATAAAACTCCTTACTTGATCAGAATGTAACTGAATAGGCACTACAAACCTGGGAATCCAATTCCGTATCATTACTCTGCTATCGTGACAACCTCTTGATCAGGAATAGGATATGCTTCAAGTCTCTGTGTCAAGTAATCAGTGACAAAAGAATGTTTATGTTGCCATCAGCGGTTTGTGGCAGAGGTCTCAGGATAGGCAAAGTGTTCGAAATTCGCTCCTACATTAAAATGTAGCAGTTTCCCTCAGCTGCATTTCTTTGGCCTTTCCCATCCTGGACATACGTCACAAGATTACCACCACCACTGCACATTAGCCCTTGTATTACTTCAGTAGAAGTGCTCTCAAACTCTATGCAATGTCTTATTTTTTCTGAACTGGCTTTCAGTAAGACCTCTATGTAATTCTTTAAGGAGGTCTGGAATCTTCAAATTCTGGTACAAAATGGCGTTTGGAATATTGAGCGAGTCTTAAAGAAGCCAATATTGTTTTGTCTCAGAACTGTAGATCAAATTGTCCTGCCAGATAGGTTCCCTATTTGAAGACTTCATTAAGACTACCCGTTTAACCAGCTTATATTTCACTTCAACCCTGGGACAATTATCAAAAGCTTTTTGGCAGTTTCTTCTAAACAGGGCATTGGCATTTCCATGTGATGATTCTTTCTGATGATGAATAATTATGTCATATTCCTGTTTCTGTATCCACCTGGCTTATGTGGCTTTTGGAATTCTTGAAATTTAAGAGCCAGGTCAGCAATGCATAATCTGTGCAGAGCAGGAATTTTCTGCCATAAAGATAAAAGTTGAAATGTTCTATGGCTTTATCTATGACGAGCAACTCTCTGCCTGTGACGCAGTAATTTTTGTCTGGTTACATAGACATTTGCTGCAGTATGCTACGACACGTTCGTGAGCACCATTATTCTCAGAGCTCGCATCCATGTCAAGAATAAATGGTTTAAAATGGTTTGTCCAGCTGAGGATAGGTCAGGACTGTTGCAGATTTTAAAGCCTCTTTCAATTTGTTAATAGATCCTTTTGTCCCTAGGAACTTTTGCATGCTCACTGTCAGTTTGTAAAGGTGGTATTACAATGGAAGAAAAATCATTTATAAGTCTCCTGTAGTAGGTGTAAAGCCCTAGGAAACTTCTCAGTTGATGGGCATTTTTTCTTCTTTTTTCAATGTTTAACTCCCGAAACTTTTTCCGCATTTGCACATGTACTTTTGACAGAGATGACATGCCCGAGGTATGTCACCTCCTGTCTGAACAATTAACATTTGGCAGAACTTAGTTGAGTTGGCTTTCTTCAGTTCCTGAAGCACCTTCCTAATATTTTCTAAATGCACTTCAAAACTTTTTCGAAAGATAATGATGTCAACTAGGTATATCAGGCAGGGTTTGTCGGAAAGAAATCTCAATGCAGTGTCCATGAGGCATTAAAAAGTTGATGGTGAATCACATAATCCAAAAGACAAAACCTTGAACTGACAGTCTTTGACCAATAGTAAATGCTGTCTTTTCTCGGTCATCGGCATATATCTCTACCTGCCAGTATGCACTCTTTAAGTAATGTATAAAAAACCATTTGCCTTTAGAAAAAGTATCCAGAATGTCATCAATTCTGGAAAGAGGGTAGCTGTCTTTCTTTAAGATTTTATTCAGCCTTGAATAGTCAGCACAAAATCTAGTTGAACCAGCCATCTTTCTGACCAGGAAGGTAGGAGAGGCTAAAGGACTTGCTGAAGACTCAATAAGTTCATAGCTTTCTTTCATTTCCTTTAGAAGTTTTCTAGCCTTTTTCTATTTAGCAAGCAGGAGACATCTTGGATGTTGCATGATTGGTGGATGATCCTCTGTATCAATTTTATGCTATGTCAAACATTTTCGACCTACATGAAAAGACGTGCAGGAAAAAACATGTTGAAATTCTTCTAAGCCACACTCTGCAGCACTTCTTTTTTCTCAGCTTAATCATGCATTGTGTGATATTTCCAATTTTATGCAATATTTCTGATTTTAGACTCTCTGAAAACGCAGAGACTCGTGAACTATATGTTTAATGCAGGTCAGTAGAGTACATGTGCAAACTTTGCCTTTCCTGATGACGTTCACCTTATCACGTTGGCACCTCTCTCTGGGATGATAGTCCACAATTAGGTCAACGAGTGCCAAGATTACTAGTACTCTTTTTGTGCTCTTATAGTTCTTAGGATATTCCATTATGCCACACCAGAAATTTCTGTTTTTAGTTAGTGATCCAGGAAGTAAAAATTCTGTTCTTGTTGGTACTGTGATATCATTTTAAGGTATGATTTGCTGGATAGATTTAACTTCGAACAGGGTTATTTCCTTAAAGGCAGAATGCAAATCATTATTGTTAAAGGTCTAAGGAAAAATTGTATTTCCATGGAAAGTCTAATCTGAGTATGCAAATATTTGCTATGTATGCCACGGGCTGGGTGAGTGGGATTTGAAAATGTGGTGTTAATGTTTAATTTTGCATTGATTTTTATTTTATCACCAGGTACCATCTGAAGCATAATGGAGGGTGGTGTCCAGATGAGTTTACCTTCCAATTGTTGAGCCAAATCTTTTCCACATTGGCTGCAGTATCAATGGCCATATTACAAGGAACTCCATTGATATGCCACATGATAAGTCCATTACTACTGCCAGTTATTGCAGAAATCTGGAGTGCTTTAAAATGCATTTCTCTATATCATTCAAGGGTTGTTTTCTTGTCATTCCTATTTCTGCTTCAAAGCATTGACTTTTCTGGTTAAATCATCTAAATGAGCAGTCAGTTGACCCACAGTCTTCTGGACGTGAGTCTGTATCTCAGGATCTCGGCTCCATTGATGAAGAATTTCCAGGGCAGGATTTTCCTTGTTTCTGTTTTGCTGTCTGAAAAGGCGAGATGAGACAGACTTTCAACATCCGTGCCGAGCTCCTGAATTGTTTGTGTGGATACCTGCTATAGTAGTTTCTCGCCAGGTAATAACAGAAGTGCTATTGTTTTAGTATTAACGGTTGATTGTGTACAGGTTACAAGAGATTTTACTACACATAAATTTGGTGTGGGGGACATAGCAAACTCTTAGTATAAATTGAAATGAAAAGTTCAGTTCTGAAGAAGAAGAAAAAAAAAAAAAAAAAAAAAAGGAAAAGTAAACCATATTTATCTAAAATTTAAACATCGGGTATGTATCTGATTGAGTTTGATTAGGATCCTTTTGCCCCTATTTCTACTATGCTCGGCAAACTTTCTTATTTAATACTTTTTTTTCTATTACAGTTTAAATTAGCATTAAAAAGTTATTTGAATTTTTATATTATTGAATTATTATTCTAGGTCTGTATATATTTCTTAGTCGTGCCATCTTTTTGCAAAGATTTAGTGCTTTTTATTATTTCTTAAACTGTTTTATTATGTTCCTGCTTTTTAGTTACTTTTAAATATTTTACTATTTATTGCTTTTGTAATTGCAGAATGTGGTGGACCTTGACAGGAAATTTCGGTAATATGCTGCCCATCGATTGGTCGAAATCTTATGCACGCAAACTACAAATAAACTGCCTTAATTTAAATGACAAAATAGTAAGTATATTTTTCTAAGATAATTTAATTAACATTTCTCTAGAAATTATGAAGCCCCTGATTTTTTAATGAATTGAATAATGCTTTAAATTAAAATGACCAACTAGTGTACCTGTACAGTATTCATCCCTCATGTTCAGTATCCAGTAATCTGCATCAAATAATTTTTTGATGAGTTGATAATGATGATAGCTCGGTGAGTTGACTTATATGTTGATGTTAACTCGAGCATACAGAGAGAATTAAAATATTTTTATTGCTCAATGATCTGTCTGGGATTAATTTTGATTACTCTCATTTTTGAAAAAATTAACATGTAAACATAAATATTGATCAGCTGAATCTGTCCATGCCACACATATTTTTTTCTCTTATGTTAATGATATTAACTAATATATACCTTTCTTAATGATATTAACTAAAGTCCTGATATCATTGCTGATGCTGCAAATAATAACTAAAGTAACAATAAATAATAAATAAAGTAGGCATTATGTGCATCAAAACTGATTCACTCATAATATCTTAAAACAAACATCAAAACGGTTCACATAATGCAAATCATAAAATTAGATCATAATAATAAGGCTTATAACATCCTATGGATTGTATTTTTGGAATCTTAAAATTCGTGATTTTAAATATAAAAAAGTAACATCTATTTTGAAAAATAAATCTTCAAACTTATAAATCCATTTTAAATTGCTTCATGAATTATTGCCATCCTCAGCTTCACAACAAAGGATAATTAAATTAAACATTTTGAATGAATGAACCAAAAATTTGGAACTTTTTTATTACATTTTTTTGCCTAACAGATTTATGTAAGATAGCGACCTTTGGCTTACAGCCTTAGCATCGAAATACTCAAACATGAAGGATGACAGAGGTGAAGGATGCTTTTAAGTGAACCACATAATGCAATATGTATGCAGAAAACTAATATCAAGATTTTTACAGAAGTGATGAAAACTTCAGTATGTAGTCCATCTCTATGGTAAAATACAGAAATTGCCCTAGGAAGGATTACAATAATACAGGCAAAATTTTCTGGAGATGTAGAAAGCAGTCTTGGAATGCATAGTTTAGATACCATATAAATATCTTTTGGCAACATCATAGATCACAACATTAATACTTTTTAGCAACATGCTGTGTTATCTCAGTAGCATTTTTTCACTACATATTGGGGATTTGGATAGTCAGAAAGTACCATTTGTGGTGCTTGCGTAGAATGCAATCAATTAGTTTTAGTTAGTTATTTCATAGATGGCATCACTGAAATGCTATTTTTAAATATAGAAATAAATATGAAAACATAAATGAAGATGATTCCATTAATTAATTTAATAACCCATTATTTTTTTATTTTACTTAATTAAAAAATTAAAGTTATTTATGTGGGGCAAATTGGCAATTTAGACAAGTTTTTTTTTTTGATGATATCTGTGATAACTCAGCAAATGTTACGAATGTATTATGAGAAAACAATTAAAAATATAGCTTAAAATACAAAAACGATGATTAAAAACACAATTTACAATTAATATCATAATGCATATTAAAAATACAAAAATAATACATTAAACATAACATACGATACATTACTTTTGTTCTTCCCATATTCATTCTGGATTTAGTTAAAAAAATCAAAGAATTGTACAAATTCAACACTGTGCATATTAAATAATATATATATATATTATTATATACCTTATTCTTTCACCCAGTGTATACAGCAATCCATTTTCATTTAAAAAAAAATAAGAGAATTGCACTAACTCTGCATTTTACACCTTAAATATATATATATATAAAAATCAATCATTAATACTGTTAAAGTCCACAGTACCCTTAATTCTGGTTCTGTAAAAAAAAAAAAAAAAAAAAAAAAAAAAAAAAAACATTTCCAGAATAAAATCTTTATTAAAAAAGTAGGGTTGCTGTGATAAAATCATCATTTAATATGGAAATGTTCAGATTTATATCCATTAGGCTTCATTTCAGTTAATTTAAAATTTTAAGTTTCTTAATTCATTAACATTCAGACAACTTTATTTAATATTATTTCACATTCAAATATGCAATAAAATGAAGTCAAAGAAATAAAAGCAATAGATTACATACTATAGGATTACCCCATTCATTTTTAATAGCATCACCATGCAGCAAAAGAAAAGTCTCTTTGTTTTTGCACAAGAGCATCTTAATTTTCCATATTTCAAGCTTGGTGGCCAAGGGCAGATGTAGGAGATTTGACCGGCACAGAAAATTTTGCATAAATATGACAACAACTTGACCATTGTTTGCCAAGCTACTAGTTTACCTCAGCATTAATACACAAAGATGTTCCGTACCTCAATGAAGTTCAGTACCATGAAGAATGCAATCTTCATCAAGATTCCGGGACATTCCTTTGAATATCTAAGCAAACAGTCTTTTGCGAATCAGTTATTTCATTGATAAAGAGTGCCTGGCTTTCGTATGAAGTTCAGTTTTTACCTTGAAGACTGTAACTTTCAGGGTGCGGGACACAAATATGAACTTCTAAGTGAATAGTTATTGACTTCAAGAAAAGACTGGCACCTACAGGAATTTCAGTTTGTATTACAAAGAATGCAGCCTTTGTTAAGACTCTGTGACATTCCTTTCAAGATCGAAGTGAATAGTAGGATACTTAATAAAAGTGCTAGCACGCTTATGCAAGTGGACCAATGTTCGCCGAGGCATAAGGTGTGTAAATACTCTTTGGAAGTTCTGTTTACACCACGAACAATGCAGCCTTTATTAAGATGTCTGGACACCAATGGTTGGGTCTTTATTTTTAGTGAATAGTATCTGACATGCATAAAGTTGCCAGCAACTCTCATGAAGATGTGTTTAGAACTTGGAGAAAGCAACTTCCATTTATATGGCATACTTTTATGCTTGGTGAAATCTCTGTACTAAAGGTGTCGGCACCTTTGTACAATCGGTCACTGTCTGCCAAGAATACCATGCCATAAAGATGCTCGCACTCTTAGGCTGATACTATTATTCAGTTTATGATTTGAAAGCAACTGTCGATGAGGTTCTGGTAGCTTTATATCAGAGCATCTCTATTAAGAGTCTTGGTGAAATCCCATTGTAAAGATACCAGCACCATTATGAAGTTGAATTTATAACTTGAAGAAAGCACTTTTCATGAAGGTTCTGGCAACTCTCTAACCCAACTTCTCTTATGATGGCTTCCGTATTGGCGAACATTCGATGACATTTTTAGTGAAAGTGGAGATTTAGCCGTCACTGGCTCAGGAATTTTTCATGTTCCCGATAGCTCTGTGCGCTCCTGTCTGTTGCTATGATGTATAATTTGCAGTTAAAATGCATGTGTAAGTTAAAGTTGCTTTGCTCTTCTATATTGCAGGATCAAGACTCTGGAGATGAATTAGACATCTCTGATGACGAAATGGCCAAAGATCTGGATCTTCATTCTTTAATCATATCCAGTCTTCAGCAAGAACCTATGTTTACGGCGGAACAGGTTTTGGAAGAGATAGAAGAAATAATGCAAGTTAGTATTTTATTAAAACTCTTGATGATTTATTAATATCATTTGAATATGTTGAAATCTCTGGATTGTATTGAATCTTTAGATTATATTTACCCATACATGCAGAATTTTTCCTCGAGAGAATAACTTCACTTTCCAGCACTACAATGCGACGTGTTGTGTAACTAGGAATGTACACTGCGCAAAAAAAAAGGGGGGACAGTATATCTTCCGCTCTGCTGGGCCAATTGACGAAATTGAAATTATGTTTTTCATGTCTCGAAAGCGTGACTTAGGATATATATTAAATTTATATATAGCATTGTTCTAACATAGGTATTTTGAGACAAAATTGGACTTCTGAAATAACATACAATTTTTTTCCGTATTCTGATTTTACGACTCAAATTATGCCTAAATATTAAATTTTGTAAAATTTGATGCAAATTTAGGAGAGACAAAATTATTTGCACTTCTTTTCAGTTTGCACAAGAATAATTCACGGGTGAACTTCGATATGGCAACATATTTTTTTTTTTCTTCCAGGCAGGAGTGAAAAACGCACGGAGTTTTTACCTTTTTACATTGTTCACGGTGGAAAAAGAGCACATCTTCCGACTTCAAATGCAAAGTGCCTACCTAAACACATTTGGTGCATTGATACAAAAATAAAGTTTAAAGTTATAGAAAATTTACAGAAATAACTATAGAGTAGAAACACCCTAACTTATGTATATACAGACAGGAGATGACAAAGAATGACAAAGGCAACAGAGATAGAAATAAAAAATAAAACAAATAAATTTGATAAAGACCAGAAATTAACTAATATTGTAACATAATATTGCCAAATTGACTGTAAACTATCATTAAAACCCCAAGGATTTTACTTGTAGATTACATAAAAGATACAACAAAAATATTCCTGGCATGAAACTGGCAGCAAAACTCGCGAAACATATACAAAAAAACACGACATTTGAATTCACTTGACAAGGTCTATGCTTTTGGCCAAGAAGGCACCTGAAAAATTAAACCTTGAATATACTTAAGTTTATAGATGCCACTCACTGCAATTGCTTATGGGAAGCCACAGCTTGGCAAAACATTGCTTCTAAACCTGAAAAACACTTGGGTTAACGATGCCGCCCACACCAATTGCTCACAGGAAACCACAACTTGTAATATATCCCCGCTTAACCTTGAAAACACTTGTGTTAAAAATGCCCCCCACCATGGAGGTAGGAAGTAAGATGGAGTCGCCCTAAACAAGTTTCTCCCGTACCCTGCTCTGAAGCACGGCGATCCCTACGTGGTGACCAAAACATTGGTCATTTACATTGAGTTCTATGGGATTTGCCGTTCGGATGTAATATTTGTAATTACGTCGAAAAATACATATAAATGTATATATTTTCTTTTCTACTAAACTTCGAGTCCTAAGTATGTGAAAACAACATATTTTTAAACACATTTCATTCTGAACGGAATTAAATGCATATACTTTTCACAGGACGGTTTTTCAGATGGTTTATTTGAATGAAATATTTCACAAGTTTTCGTTAATTACATTAGAAAAAAATTAAGGTAATTCGATTTTATTCGGTTAAGGTACAAAAATTAAGTTCAAATTATTGTATTATTAATATTAAAATTATGCATTATTTCTTTTCTATTTATGAGCTTCTTCTAAAAACTTCTTAAATATGACATGATTTTTTGGCTTCTTTTAATCGAAAAAATGTAAGTCAATTTATAATTAATGCTCTATTCGATTCATTTTAAATTAGAAGTATTTCGCTAATTCCTAAATTAAATAGGTATTAAATAGTATTGACTTTCTCTGAACATTTCTGAAAGGAATAAAATAAGTTTTTTTTTTTTTTTTTTTTTTTTTTAAAGTATTTTTTAAAACTTGTAACTGAGTTATTATAAAATGTAAAGGAATAATCTTTTAATTATACTTATAAGATTTTTTTTTACCTTCATTTCAACAATACATATTCCAAACTCTTTATTACGTTCTAAGTGCGCATCTCATAGCATTTGCTTTACAATACCTTTTAACAGATTGCTTTCCAATACGAACAATTCTGCTTAAATAGTTTTATAACGTATTCGTCAACAGGATTTCAATTTATGTTTACAATTCATATTAAGGTTATTATATATTTAGAAATATTATCATCATTATAAATTAGATACATTAATCATTAGATTTCTTACAGTACTTTCACAGTTGTTTATAAGTGAATAAATTCTTCATTTCAAATAACATTTATAAATAATTTAATGAATATTTAAGTATTTTGTCAAAGGCAGATACATGCTTTTTGCAAGCATAGCATAAATACCCATACATATTTCCTATTTATCATTTCTGGCATGTGCAAATCTTTAATTTCAGTGCATTCACTATATTTTTGTGTAAAGTATTTACACTAAGTTAGCATACACCCGAAAGTTTACATTAAAAAATATATATGATATAATTTGAATGAAAATTATAAGTATTATTTTTAATACCCACTCAAAAGTCAGTTTTCTTCTTCAAAATTCCTCCAATGGCATCGCTCTCTTTAGGCAGATAGCCCCCTTGCATACGTTACTATATTTAATAAAAACTTTAATCTGACCTATGTGCCTGATTACAAATTTTTAAACATACATAAGTTTATATTTATAAAAACGGTAAGCCCAAAGTGATTATTTTCAGATATAAAATTAAAATGATGGAGTTTAAAATGATAGCAGTAAAGCCTCTCCTTAAAAAATTTTAAAAGGTACATGTTACATAATATATGGATGTGTAAAAAAAATTTGTTTTATTTAAAACATTTTGACATTTGGAAAATAAAATAAAAGTAGCAAATACTCTATCAAGGGTATCGAAAGACGTATACAATTTTAAAATGTACCGTAAGGTATTTTTCATTCTTTTAAGCATAACATTTTCTTAAAATCTATATTTTGCAGTGCAACAGCTTATAATTTATAAAAACAAATCATAATCAAAATCGCTGTTGTTAGTTATCAAAAATAACCAAGATGTGATTTTTGCGTGAATGTCACTAAACTATACAAATTGCTATTATCCATCACACTATGAATGTTTCTTTCATGCGAAAGTGTCCCTTTTTTGATTTCTATGGAACTGTCGTGTGTCGAAATACTATCAGAATCTTGTCAAGCGAGCTTCTGAATGTAAACAAAGAACACCCCATCTGGTGACCCAAGCTTCAAAGCAGTGCTTCACTTTTAGCGCGGGTTGGGCCCTCCTCCCTTTCCTACCTCCATGCCGCCGACAGCAGTTGCTCATGGAAAACTACAACTCTAATTTCATTGCCGTTTAACCTTGGAAAGATGCCGCTCACAGTAGTTGCTCATCGGAAACCACAACTTGAAATTCATCGCCGCTTTACAGAATCCAGGAAATCAAACATGGCCTGGAACCACAGCACTGAAGAGCGATTTAACACTGGATGAAACGGATCTCAAGAATGTCTCTAAATGCGAGCCGGAACAGCACCCAAAGAGAAAAGGAAACAGGAACAAGAAGGACTAAGCCAGAGCAATGGACGATATTTATGAAATTAGTTGACAAAACGTTATAGTACAGCAGCCAATCTGGTGTCAGCATGACCCTGCTTTCCAGATGACATAACCTCGAGCTTCGTTTCTGCATATTAATTAGCATTCTGTTTGTAATACAAACGGTGACCGTAAAATCGAAGTAGGGAAAATTGCTATATTCCTTAAAATAAAAACTAAACCTCATGTAAAAGTTAGAATTATTTTAAGGAGGAGAGATGATGCAAAAGGGGTTACAATAAGCCATATTTGCAACAGTTATTATCGCTTTCTACAAAAATGCCAAATTTCAAAACGTGCCAATATATAAATTCTTGTATATCTTTGGAAATTTTGAATAAAAAAAACTAATTTTTTGCAGGTGTGCTTAGAAATACAACTTCTTTAAAATGATGTAAAATTTATAGGTTAAATTCAATTTTTTGAAAATTTATAAAATTTTTAAAAATACAATTAAAAAATAAATCATAAAAACGGGTGAATTTTATTCAGAATGAACCAAATTTCTAAATGTGAAAGGGAGAATCAAATAAGTTTAATAAAAAAGGAGAGAATAATAAATATATATCAAATTCAATTAAGATCTGGAGCTTTTTGCTTTAATTTTGAGAGCTAGTTTTTTAAAAACTGCTCGTGCGATTTTTACAAAATTTATCAGTTTGGCATAATTTAAGTGGCAGAATCAAAATATGGAAAAAAAATGGCATGTCATTTCAGAAAAAGTCCGATTTTGTGTCCAAATACCTGTATTAGAACAATGCTATATATAAATCTAATAGATATCCTAATTTGTGCTTTCGAGACATGAAAAAGGCAAGTTGAATTTCGTCAGTCAGCCCAGGAGAATCGGAGATATAGAAATGCCCTCCCTTTTTTTTTGGTGCTGTGTATATGAGAAATTGATAGTACAAGGAAATACAGTAGGTGCCATTAATGTGAGCATGTTTGTCCATGACTATTTTAATGACATTAACCAAATGATAACATTAAGTGAGGAGAAAAATGTCTTTCAGACTATCAGTGGACTTTAATGTAAGCTAAAGACATATAAGTATTTCCTTTAACAGTATTTTATCTGGGAAAAAGTCTTTAATAATTAATTATCTAGAATCTTACACAAAAGTTCATTTATGAATGGCTCATACTCATAATGTTCTGGAAATATGTTTTAGAAAGCAACAGGCAGGTATCTTCTTCTGCCACTGATATCACTATTTGAGTTTTTTTATCAATATCTACCCAAGCATCTAATTCTTCACTACTCATATTAGTCGCAGATGTTTTTAGTAATTCACCTTCTTTCACGATGTATAAAAAAGGGTTGGCATATCTAAAATAAGTTCTTTTTATCCAAGTTAAAAATGGAGATTCTCGGCGACTCTGTTACTTGCTGACGATTCTCCATCATTTGAAAATTTCTGTATTATGTT